GACGCCCGAAGGGCGGAGTGTTTTCATACAATTTCGAGTTTTCCCAACTTCCACGAGTGTTGGTATAACTATATATCAATACGGAAAAAATGTTTTATATTTTTTTTATAATATGGCAATGTCAAAAGCCCGAAGTATAAGAAAAATTTCTGTGTTTACAAGCGGCGGAAAATTTCCCGTGTTGACATAGAGTTATATCAACACGGCTCTTAGCCAATCAGCGTTCAGAATTTACAAATGCTATATTATAATTCTTCTTAGTATTGATAGTTCTTCTAGTATTGATAGTTCTTCTTAGTATTGATAGTTCTTCTTAGTATTGATAGTTCTTCTTAGTATTGATAGTTCTTCTTAGTATTGATAGTTCTTCTAGTATTGATAGTTCTGAGTTCTTAGTATTGATAGTTCTTCTAGTATTGACAGTTCTTCTAGCTTAGTATTGATAGTTCTTCTTAGTCTAGTTCTTCTAGTATTGACTGTTCTTCTACTATATATTGAGAGCAGTGATATTTGGCATCGGCACATCCCTACCACGGATCAGGTCCACGAAGGTCGTCCCTGGACCTGGGGTGCACGTTTTGTCATTTCACTATGTCTATGAAATGCACCTGAATCACACAGTTGTAGCCAGCAATAGGTCACAACTCAAGGTGGTAAAAGGTGGTAAAACCCTTGGCTTCAAATATCAGGGTGGTAAAGCATGTCGAAATATCAAGCAATCTGCGGCGGTGCGGTTTTCAATGCCTTAAGTAGGATCTAAAACTTTTTGATGATTGTCATATGCCTCATGTAACGGAACCAAAAAGCGCGATTGGTCTTACTCTTATGGAGTAAATCCATTTACCGAGTCAAATCCGAGTCCGAGTCAGTCCCGATCGAGCCCGAGTCAAATGCCCGAGTCGCGTAAAAAAAAGACGAAAGTGAAGAAAATTCACAGTCGAATAGGGTTAGGAGTAGGTTTAGGGTTAGGGTACTAAGTCATTTTACCGACAAAGGCAGTTAAACAGTGACTCGGACATTTGACTCGAACTCGGATTTGAGTCGGTCAGTAACCGACAAACTCCGAAATTGAATAAATTTCACAGTTGAATAGGGTTAGGGTAGGTTATGAGTGGGATTATGGTTAGGATTAGGGTACTAAGTCATTGAACTGCAAAGACCATTGATTAAACAATGACTCGGACATTTGACTCGGGCTCGGATTTGACTCGGATTCGGATTTGACTCGACAAACTCTAACTATTATGACCATTATGCAGTATAGCCCGTTTATAATCGAATATAATTGAAGCACGGTTACCATGAGAATAATCAGTTTCAAGGTGTCACCTTGCTGTCATTACGAGGATTATGTATTTGCTCTGATAATCGAAAAACCCGCGCAAACTTATCCCCTTCGTTCCTGAGGAATAAATTTTCAGCAAAAATGCTAGAATCAAAAAAATTTTTGTTAATCTTGGATTTTGCCCAATTTTCTTCAAATTTTCACAGTGACACAGAAGATGCACGAGGGCTACAAAAGTGTGTATAGCTATATTCAGTATATTCTAGCTACATTATTTCATTTTCATTTTTTACTTATTGCTCTTCAACACAAAACATTTAAATTTAGTTAGAACGAAGGTTTAGATTAAAGAAATTTATATATCACAAAAATTTTAAAAAAACCTATAGCTACCGCACACGCTTTTGTAGAGGTATCATTTCACTTTCCAAAAAGCTTTTTTTGGAGGGATTTGATTAAATCCATATGTAGCTTAACGAAATTTTTCGTGTGAAGTGAGAGCGTTTTTCCTTCTCCGCAAAATGAACAAAACCTTAAAGCAGTTAAAGGCTTAGTTAATAAATGGTGACATTTATTAATTCAACAGACACTGTACTATAACTGGTCAACATTTGAGCTAAATTGGTTCAAAACACAGGCCGGAATTTCAATTTTTGTGTTTCATAACATTAAAGAACTGGTAACAACTAGCAAAACTGAATAACTGATAACAACAAAGTCAAAGTGTATCTCATTCTACATATGTCATTGAGTACAAGCCCTCTGAATGTTGTTTTAGTTTCAGGGTTTTCTAAACTTACTGTGGAAACTGAACGGCGGTGGGAAATTTGTCTGCACATGCAGAATAATTGCAAATATTGTAATCTCCCTCATTTTATTCACAGCACCATTTATATATAGTGTGAGTGCCCTCCCCTTGACAAGTAAAATCGTCTGGTGTTAAACAGAGTAGAAAATAATGTAGCGGGTTGCAATCGAGTGTTTCACCAAATGTGTTTGGGTTCTATGTTTGCAAATGTGTTTGGGTTCAATCTATGTTTGCAAATGTGTTTGGGTTCTATGTTTACAAATGTGTTTGGGTTCTATTTTGGCAAATGTGTTTGGGTTCTTTGTTTGCAAATGTGTTTAGCAGTTGTGACTCCACCACTTAGCAGACCTAATATTGGAAGTTTGGATGACACCCATTGATTGATTTCCAGTGCGAGGTTTAAGAAAAGTAAATTTTCATTAGATATTTACAACTTTAATTTTGACTTAACAAGTCATTTCTTGCAAGTCCATCAGCCAAGTCACAAAAATTGCAACTCGAGTCTGACTCAAGTCACATGACTCAGGGAAGAGGAAGTTACCATACGTGAAATAAAATACTCTTTTGCATCTCTTACATTGGGCCAGACTAGGTATTTATTAACATTTTTAGGTGTGATTTCCTGCATTGTCACATTATTTGAAATGAAAAGTGATGATTATGATTCAACACCCAGCAAAAAGCTTCCTCCAAATATCTGTACAACAAATACCTTTAATTATAGTCCGAAAAAATATAGGTGGGTCTTAGACTGACAAATGATCCCTAGGATGTGGACAATTATTTCTTTTTTCAAATGCTCGACATTCCCCTGGGTGAGGGGTGGGGTTTCTAGTGACAAGGGCGTTATCTGTGACATTGGTATATTCCCACACCTGAGAACTTTATATGCTTAGCCTAGCTAATATTTTATGGTTTGTGGAATGACAATGCAGTTGGAAAGAAATCAAACCGACTTTTTATGCAATTTAATGATATACAGTGGAACTCCGCCTTATGGTCACCTCGTTAATACGGTCATCTCGTTAATATGGTCACCTCGTTAATAAGGTCACTTTGTTAATAGGGTCACCTCGTTAATATGGTCACTTCGTTAATAGGGTCTCCTGGTTAATATGGTTACCTAGCTCATAATTTCACTCCATGTTAATATGGCTGCTAAATTTAGAAAACTAAAATGACTGTGAACACTGTGTCAGCAGATGCCCTATCATCATCAATTTTTTTTTTCCTCATGTTTTTGCCCAGTTGAAGGTCACCGATATTTTTCATAATTGTGAACATGAAACAGAGAATGGACATGCAGATTTATATGGTACAATGATGTGTAAAGTCAGAAACCTCTATTTTTTTCAGAACAATAATAAGCTGTCTGTTCAAGATTGTTTTGTTTTGCATTTCTCTCCATTTGGGTTGTTTGTTAAAAAGAACAGTTGTTCAGGAGTGTGATGCATTTGTCATGAGGACTCTTAAGTCATAAAATTTTACCCCACCCCGTTAGTATGTCCACCCCACCATGACCCCACCCACTGTACTAGAATGTTCTAACGCTACTATTAATTCATTAAATACACTTCCTTGTTCTTGCAAAATATAATATAAACACAGACCTGTACTTATGCAAAACACCAACGCTGCATACAGATAACCATGCTGTGGGAATTGCCCACGTTTTCCCATAGTAGCAATTTCCAAGCAAAATCTGTTTGCTCAAAATCTATACAAGACATACAAGACAATGGAAATATTAGACCACTTGAACACCGCAACATATCAGATATTAATTATTCGTCAACAAAACATGCTGAATATTGTCGGGAGTGAACAAAATAACATAGTTTGATTGGATTTCCCCACGTACTTGTAAGTAAACTCCGACTAATAAGGAAGTATTGCCCCTGGATCAAACATACTCGAGAAATCAGTGTATTCAAATAGTTTCAAATTATTGAAATTAAGAACAGTTGCAAATCACTCGATAACATTCTATGTAAACAATGATCAGACGCAAATATAGATAGCAACGCTTTAATAACACATCTAGCTCATTTGAAACAACCAATAAAATATTAAATAAGAGTTTACCCGGAATACTGTTGACCACCTTCTAACTCGAAAGAAAAAGTTTTAAATCCTGATATTTAGCCCGTTGACCCTTCCACTGTATTCTTCCGTTTGTGAGACAGTTTCACTCAAGCAGATCTTGCCAATTGACGTCCTGAACGGAAGAAGTTCATTACAGCACAATAGGAACGCCCATCATCATCAATTCATCATTTTATCCGAGTTTTGGTCGTGGGTCGTGCGTGTGGGTCGTGGGTTAAAAATCGTACGTCTCCAGTTAGTTTTCGCTCAAACACGGCTTTTGAGTTTTGCTAAATAATTTCTGTTTTACAGTAATCATCGCAATAGTCGCGGAACGCAGACATCGCTATCGCAAAAATCGCAGTAAGTCTATCTTTGTCGCTTTGCGACGTTGTCGTAAGAGTCTTAAGGCCCGGTCACACTACACAACGATAACGATACGATAAATTGTAAACACGTGATAATTGGCAAAAAAAATTGTGTTAGTGTGCACACAACAACGAAAATGATAAAATTATCGTTAGACGATAACGATAACGATAACGATTTTAAAATCGCTCACCTGAGCGATTTTTTTTTCAGTCGGACGATAACGATAAATTTTTGACCAATCAGCGCGCGTATACAAGTTATCGTATCGTTATCGTTGTGTAGTGTGACCTGGGCTTTAGGCCCGTTTCAGACGGCGTATTTATCATGTGCCGAACTTAATTGATGAATTAGGTACGGCAGAAGAGCGACGTATGAATCAATTAAGTACGGCAGAATTTGGAGCGGCAAAAGTTCGACACAAGTTCGGCAGAGCTTAATTGTCGCGTTATGCGACGTTGGAGCGACATTAGAGAGTTTAAGATCTACGACGCGGCCGGCTCAACGACGCGCTTGCGAAAGAAAGAAATTTGTCATGCAAGACAAAAACTGTGAATAATTTGTGGTCCCAGGGGTATTCTCAACGGCTTTGTCATGCTCAGCAGAACGTTAAACTAAGGGGCGGACCATTAGAAATCCCGGGAGGGGGGGGGGGTATAAAATTTTTGCGGCACGAATTTTTTTTTCAGTCTCGTCTCTCTGCAGGAATTTTTTTTAATGCATTTAACCTCTGCACGAATTTTTTTCAAGACTATTTGTACTTCGCTGTTTGCTTGCACGATTTTTTTTTCTCTGACGTAATGGCTGCACGAATTTTTTTTCCAGGCATTTTCCTTTGCACGAATTTTTTTTGGGAATTTTCACCCCCCCTCCCGGGATTTCTAATGGTCCGCCCCTAAGCATTATCACGTCTTTCAAGCAACGCGAAGCTTATTGCCACCCAAAAGATGATACTTAATGTCGAAATTACAGCAAACATTGCATCGCTTTAGTCAAATTAAACTTAGCAGTTTGTAATGTTATTTGAAAATCGTCAAACATTTATTACAGTAATGAAATTGCTTAGCGTTCATTTTTTAGCTGAAATTCAGACCGCGTCGTTGAGCCGCCGCGTCGTAGATCTTAAACTCTCTATTGATCCATACGCCGCTCCACTCATGTGCCAAACTTAATTCAACTTTAGTCTAAAAATAAACTTATTTATTTTGAATTTTATTGAGGTTTCGCTGGCGAATGCGCCCCAACCTTGTCAATAACATAATCACAAAATAGTATTTGGTACGCTGTTTGAATCACTGCCGTTCTTGCATGTGTCGCATCTACTAATACAATTAAGTTCGGCACATGAGCCGTACGCCGTCTGAAACGGGCCTTAGTTATCGGCGTGACTCAAGTTTCCAATAAATCGCAGTTTTTATTAAAAATTTCGCGTTTTTAAAATCGTTGCGACGCTTGCGATGCGGTTCTTGCGATAATTACGATTTAATGGAAAGCAAGCAGTGCGTGTGAGCGACCGGCAAATGCTCAGTATGGGGCGTAAGCGGTCTCAAATAAGGCCAACAAAATGTTGGGGTTCGTGAAAAGATCGTGTTTTCATGCAAGTGACCCTAAAGTACGAAAGACCCTGTATCTAACCCTAGTACTGAGAAGCCAGCTTGGTTACTGTAGCCAATTAATTGTGGGCACCCCAAACCACCCATGACATTCAAACCCTGGAACGAGTTCAGCGTCGCAGCACCAAGTCAGTTTTTTATTTTATCTCTTTATTCTCTTCCATTTCAAACAGATATTTCATACCCTAAACGACTTGCTAAGCTCAACATTCTTCCAATTACCTACTGGCATGAATACCTGGATCTTGTTTTATCTATTCAAATGTATTTATGAAAATTCCGACAAAAATGTGAAACTAAATTCACCAAATCGTGTAAACAGACGCTCCGAGTTCTACATCAGGACTCCTTCTTCAGATTACCAAATAAACTGAAAACAATAACCTTTCAAAACAGTTTTTATATCAGAGCATGCAGAACGTGGAACACTCTACCAATATCTTTAAGAAACTTAACTTTATTGTCTTCGTTTAAACGTTGTCTATTTAATTACTATACAATTACTTTATGGTAATTCCGTGTTTGGATGGCCTGATCCAAACACGCGGGAATGTTGCGAGAGTTAAGAAAAGCGCGCGAAAGCACGAGCCGAAGGCGAGTGATTTTGCGCGCTTTTCTTAACTCGAGCAACATTCCCAAGTGTTTGGATCAGGCCATCCTAACACAGAATTACCATAAAGTAATTGTTTTATAAAATAACAACAACACGATAGTCTTCCGTGTTTGGATGGCCTGATCCAAACACGGGTTTCGACCAATCAGAGCACGCATTATATACATGTTATTTTATTATATTTTTTATTAACTTCTAATGTTTATAACCCAGAATTGCCGCACACATACAAGACTGTTTGTGTCAAATGTCACAAAGCCCGTTCTTTGGATTCACTCAGTGACACTTTGTGCTACTAGTGCCCTTTCTTTATATTATGCGATGACTTTTTGTTGTTTTTTGTTGTGATGCACTATTTAGTGTTTAACTCTTTGTATACAATATTTCTATGTATTTTACAACTCACGCGGGGAACCCGTTATTAGAGCTTCGGCTCTGTGGGTGCGCCCTTCCTGTTTTTGGGTAAATTAAATCAATAACTGAAATAAATAAATAAATAACGATCGTAAAGATCGAGTCCCGATCTTTCTCAACAGCTGAAATACAACAGTTTAACACTGATAATAAGCAGAGTGATTATAAATAGCGAAAACTTATGATTTTAATTATATATTTGTTTACAGATAGAGAAGTAGAGAACTATTAGAGAGTTTAAGCTAATTCGCGTTATACGTCAAACGGCAAACGCCAGGCAAAGAAAAATTTTACGGCATATCAGGCAATAAAGAGTAAATCAAAACTTGGTGTTTTAAAACTGCAATGCATGATTATTCTTTAGATGCAAGAAAGAAAATATGAAACGAAAACGTTCAACGAAAATTTTGTCAAGAAAGTTTGAACCTGCCGTTTGCCGTTGCCGGAAACGTGAAGCTTAAACTCCCTATTATAATCTGATGTGTTTGATGTTACTCTGAGGGGCCTGTTTGGCTGTTTATATGGAGGCGAGTTACTCAGCAACGGCTATTATAGATATGTATATTGTTACAAAAGTAAGGGGAGGACCATTAGAAAAGTGATGAAGCAAAAACAATCGCGCAAGGGAAACAGAAAAAAATTCGTACACCAAGAAAGTTTGAAAAAAAATTCAACAGGGAAAATTATAAGTGGAAATAAAAAAAATCGTGGAAGGGATTATATTATTTAAAAAAAATATCGACACCAAAAATTTTTTTTTTAAAAATATTCATACACAAGTTAAACAGCCTCCCCATCACATTTTAATGGTCCGCCCCTAAGACAATCCCGACAACATTAATCTTTAAATTAAGTGGTGTTTTCCGCCCAGTGGATTATTAATGCCAATCGCTACTGTCCTGAAACGAATTTATACCTTATTAACTTGATTATGACTACCTTGGTTGCCAGAGGTTCTCGTGTCTTCCGCCCTATTCTCGCTGGTATTACGTAATTTACAATACGGCGGCAAGTGGACCTCTGGAACCAGGGTAGATTGGGTAGATTATGACGGAGTCAGCAGCCAGTGTGCGCGGCCATGTTTTAGTTGTTTCAATGCATGTAATTAAAGTTCCTTTAATTGCGTCCTGCCGCCTGGCCATATCCTGCTGCCCTCATGGCTTTAGTTCGGAAGTTCAAATGAAGAATTTCGGTTAAATATTCAGTTGGGATTGCCGATCGCTTACACACGTTTTGCTAAAACAGAAATTATTTAGCAAAAGCAGTGTTTGAGTGAAAACTGGAAATTTAGAGCATTTTTCGGCCCACAACGTTTACGCACAACTTTTTACCCACGACGCACGACTAAACCCACGACGTTTTACCAACCACACACGACCAAAACTCCAAAACACAAACAGTACGAGGGAATTGTCCATTTACTGTTCCAGTTCTTATTCTTAATTTATTACATCGAGTTACATTACAGCGTCAGTGAATTTTAATTATTACACACAAACCTTGATGAAACAGGTTTTGGCAATGACTTTAATTAATTAATTAATTAAAATAAAGATTAAAGTAGAAATCTTGAGTTTGCAATATGCTAATATTCAAGTGCCCCAGTGGTCTGCACCCTAAATTCGCGAAATTGTCTGCTGGTAAAAAGTTAGCGGTAGGGTGCAGGTTAGGGCAAAGTAAGGGATGCATGAATCTATAACCCAACTTCATGAATTTGTATAATTTCAAATCATCACGGACTCCAGAAGAAACTGTGGGCCCAGAGTTGTTTAGAACTGACGAATACTTATACTATTCTTTCAAAAGTTTCAAATAATTAGTGCATGTGTCCAACATATCTATGGTTTGTTCCGAAGCGACTAAACACAAGTCATTGGCTGATTTAGGGAGTCGAGAACGAGAAGGGAATGTAGTCGATAACGAACTATGGGCACGCGGCCAAATTCACGTGGTCCCGAATCTGCCTCGTACCCAGGCGCTTACATGAAGTATTCAGGTAGGCAGCCGACGCGCGAAGGGGCTGTTGGGAAGGGTGCGTGCTGGGGAGCGCCTGGCAGTTCTTGTATACTGTCATGGCGGGAAAACATGGAATTTAATACAAAAAGTTACCATATCGTCATATACTCTGTGTGTAAAACCTTACTTTGTGATGAAGAGTTGAATTGAACGCCATTGGCAAATAATAATACATTTGTAGATGTTCGATGACATGCAAAATGCGCGAAAAATTATGAGTAAATAACATGGCAAGTTAACCGTGCGAATATTTCGAATATGTCATTCGGTATTACATGGAGAATAATAGAATGCTATCAGTTGCTTAGCATAAAACAGTAACAGAGAAATGATTAGAAAGTCATATAATTGCTTTTGTATTAATAACTTCTTTAGCTGAAAGCTCAATCAGTCGATCACAATGCCAATGGCAATTTCTATTAAATGTATACTGTAAACAAAAGCCCAAGTAAATAAAAGTTCACAGCCGTAAAGTTTGAAATATTTATTACAACAGTGCAATTTTATAGTCTGTACCTTTATATAGTTATAGCTTACAAATCTAGTTCCTGCAAGTCTAGTTCTTCAACGCTTCGGTTGTTGACATGTTAATATTGGAATTTCCATGGACTTTAAATAAGGCATATGTCATATATACCAAGAATAACAGCATGAATTCACGCCCAGATGACAGAAGAATATTAACATTAGTCAATTCAACAAAAACAAGTAGCAAAAAATCGTAAACGACAACGAAATATCACAACTTGCAAGAAATCGTACAAATTTGCAAGAAATCGACCAAGAACTGCCAGGCGTCTCGCAGTTCAAGTGCACTCTTCCCATCAGCCCCTTCGCCATCTCTCCCCACTACAATACTTCATGTAAACTCGTCATATGCGCATCACTGTTTTTTTACAAAGAGACGCCTGGGTACGAGGCAGGTCCCGAATGGTAAACAAAATGGCCACCGGAAGTCATTCTCGAAGCAAGAATGAATCAAACCATTGACCATTCGACTACACGCTTACAATACAATCTTCCACAGTCTGTGCCAGTGTAGGTAGTGGCAATAATAAAAAAAGCTTCGGATTGATAGGGATGCAACAACTTCACAAATACAAGGAGAACTTCGACGTTTCGGTTTCGCGGCCCCAGCTTAATCGTCGAGAAATTATAGTAGCCTGACTAACTTCCCGACGAAGTTGATACTAACTTGTAGCTCGAACGGGCAAACCGAGGCCGCTTTGGCATATTTCGAATGTTTTAAACGGTGACAAATCTACAGCGGGTTATTTTGACTTACGTCTTCCGGTTATATATTGATCAGAGGCAACGCAAGTCAAAATAACCAGTTGGTGATTTGTTCGACTTATCTGAAAACATTAAAAATATGCAAAAGCGGCCTCGGTTTGCCCGTTCGAGCTGTAGTTACTTACGATTAATTAGGCTAATAACTTCCAGACGAAGGGCCTACTTTGTACTTCTCGGGTAGTTGCATTAACCGAAGCTTTCTTCCGTGGCAATGAGGCAATGGGGTATTAAGCTTGCCCATGGTCATGCTTACGAAATCCACAAATCGCACTTGTCCTGAAAAGAAAAATCGCAAACTAACTTCCGGTCTTGAAGCAAGACAGGTGCAAATAAACAATTTTCTCATTCGCAGACACAATTTTACTCATGAGGTTCATGGAAGTGTAATAAGCTCGGATTCCAGCCGTACGTCTGGCGGAATCTGAGCGTATTTCGAGGTCACACGTGCCACCTCTTTGCATGATATTATCCGTCACAGAGTCACAAGATTAAACCGAAACTTGAAATAATCAATATCATGTTAGTTGCATTGATATACTTAAAAGGATAAAAACGAGAGATATCCGTTATGAATTGAATTACATCTCCACAGACAAGGCAATGAAGCATAAGGACGAAGACGGAGCTCGGTTTAAATTAATCAGAACCGGGTACAACTACTGGGTAAAACCTCAAAGTTTCAGGTAAAACCTGGAGTGAACCTGATGAACAAATGAAACCCGAAGGAGGGACGTCTACAAAACAATATGCGCATGTTTGAAGTTTTCCCACAAGAAAGTTAAGAGGCCGCACTAGCACGGTTACAAACTATGAATAGAAATTCGGCAAGTGAAAATATTGAAATGGATCAAACGTTTCTCAGTCTTAATTAGCCGTGTTTTTCTTAGGCCAGGCTGAAGTGCGTTTACACTACAAAAATCTAGTCCAAAGGTAGGCCCAGGCCAGGCTTAGGCTCGTAGTGTAAACATGGCTTTAGACACTCGTTGATTTTTATTCATATATTTATCATCATTGCACATATGCAAATAGCTCCAAAACAGCAAGGATGGGTTGACTACAAAATTTTTGTAGTTCGCTATAACTACAGCTACTTCAAAAATATGTAGTCAGCTACAACTACTGCTACTTTTGAACAAAGGTAGTTCGCTACTGACTACAGCTACTGCTTAAAAAATGTAGCGAATTATTTCGCTATTTCGCTACACTATATTTTTTAGTTTTACTATATTTGGAGCATCTACTAACTCAGGCTGTAATGTAATCTATAACAAATCGACTTACGAGTAGCAACAGCCAACAGTAAACACAAAGCATAATTTTTGTAAGCACTACAGTGTTCAGGAGTGCAAATTGACTATTGAGTATTGATTTTAAGCAAACTGTGTTTCAATATCATGGCGCTATTCTATCAGGTTGCTAACAATTTTAAAAAGTAGCGAATAGCGATTCGCTGTTTGAAAAGTAGTCAACTACTTGGCTACTTTTAGGCAAAATGTAGTTCGCTATAACTAAAACTACTGTTTTAAAAAAGTAGTCAAAAACTACTGGCTACTTGAAAATTGTAGTTCGCTACAGTAGCGAACTACAACTACTTCGCTACAACCCACCCTTGCAAAACAGGTCGGATATGTTTAAAAGACAAGAAAATGACGAGATCATAGATATTGGCCCGTTTATTGTCGATTTTGAAAAGTGTATCCAACTACAAGATAACCTACTCAAGTCGACACAATAAAACAATATCTAATGACAGTATCAGTGACTATATTTTTGTGTTCATGCATGCAGGGATTCACAGCGACATTCTCAAATGGCAGGACACTGAATCAGTTATAGAAAGATCATGCTGCCATATTACTTTTTTCCTCATTATTGCTGGGACGGAACATTAGAAAAGTGATGGGGGGGGGAGAAAAAATAAAAATCGAGCATGGGAAACAGAAAGAAAAAAAAATCGTGCACCAAAAAAGTTTGAAAAAAAATTTCGTGCAGAGACTTTTCAATAGGGAAAATTATAAGTTGAAATAAAAAAAATTCGAGCAAGGGATTATATTTAAAAAAGTTATAGACACAAGCAAAAATATTCGTACAAGTTGAAAAAGTCGCCCCCCCCCCCATCACTTTTCTAATGGTCCTAAGTGAATTAAATAAACCGCATAACCTGCCTGTCAATTGGGCGGGTTTTATTAGTTAACAATAAAAGGGAGAATTTGAAGAATTTCTGCCGCATTTTGGCACGCCTGTTATAAATCCGGAATATAAAGCCTTTGAGAAGCAGATTTGGAGCAAGTCTATAAAAGGCAACAGTATAAGACAAAGAAATACAACATAAACATTAACAAATGCATGAAGCTATAAGCATGTGACATAACCTTCGCCATGGTATAGGGCTTTGGTTGAACCAAGTATAGTGATTAGTGTAATGTGTAAATGAGTCCGCTCTTCTAAATCAGTCCAGCAAGTTAGATAAGGGGTGGACCATTAGATTCGGCGGGGGGGGGATGGGTCGAAATCTTGCAGACTCGTACCGGTACTACCGGGAAAGTTCGAAAAAAATAATATCGTACAGGGTCTGTGTGGTTATAAAATACATCTTGCAAGTTTATTGTTTTGCATGTCCACTGAACTGTATACATGCAAGCCCACAATACTACTGAATTCAAGTGCACATCGTTTGATGATAACAGAATATTGAAATAATATAATTTCATATATATATATATATATATATATATATATATATATATATATATATATATATATATATATATATATATATATATATATATATATATATATATATATATATATATATATATATATGATTGCAGTATGATGAAGCCGCGAATAACTACCCGGGAACAGGTCTCCCCACACGTCAGGGAAAGGGATTCCTTCCCATTGCTTTTATGTCTAAAAAGGTTGTACACATGTCTAGAGCTAGTCCGAGTGACGAACCATACCGAGTGACGAACCATACAAGTGGAGAAAACTCTACTTGGCTGGGATTCGAACCATGTACGTCCTTCGGTTTACTAGTCCAATGCTCTATACCGACTGAGCTACAGGTCCAGTTGGGTGCATGTCGTTGAAAGATGGTACTTCAAAGGTTTTTGATATTTTGAAACTGAATCATAATCTTCAGTTTGAATCTCAGTCGGGCCAAGTAGAGTTTTCTCTACTTTAATGGTTCGTATGGTATCGTTCGTCACTCGGACTACCTCCTAATGTTATCAGAGAGGTTAAGATACCTCGGTTCCAGTTTACGGCTACGGGTGAGTATACACGTATCCGTAAATCGGGGAACGACTTGAAACTTAATTAAGAAATCCAAGATATTCCGGCGTGAGAAAACCGTCAGAGAATAGCAACTTTCGCTGTTCAGGTTCGCCATAGATTGTTGAAAACTTGACGAGGATATCTGCATTATTTATTTGGGTATAAGATGTTGAAGTTTTTTCCTATTTAAACGACCCACAAATAGTAAACAGAAAACACCCGTACCCGTTTGTCTTTTACGTGGAATTCCAGGTGCACACGCATAAATTCATTAGAGATTACGGGTAAAAATGTTGACATCAGCAAAAATTGGTGAACAAAATGGCGATACTCGTACCCGTAGACCGGGGTATCTTAACCTCTCTATTATTACTGTCCGTTTACTCTCCCACGACAGTAGAGGTTGTATACAGTTTGATATTGTCTTCATCATTGCATACTTGTCGAGAAAAAATTAAATACAGGAAAAAAATATTGCAGTGGTCAAGATGAGAAAAGAAAAATACTTCTGCTGCTTGGCAGAAAAAAAGATTTCTTTCTGAGAGCAATTCTTCCAACCCTCTTCAAAAATCTAATAGTCCGCCCCTAAGAGGCTGACTTGTAGAACATTTCTTTAATTAGCCCATTTAATTTAGGTAGCTAGTTATGCTATATGAACAAACTCGCATTGACATTTTCACGGTAGTACAATAAATAAATGATGAGTTGTGTGCGTCCTTGGGTTGCTGTGCGTCTGGTTCTGGTGTAAAGCCTCAGCGTATTGTCATGCTGACGTCATGAAAAACAATGCGCTATATATCTCAATATTTTTCCGGTGATCTCTGTTCAGTTTGCACGCTGTATTGTTTGTGAAAAGCTTTTATATTATAGTAATGCCTAAAAATATTGTCGAAGAAAATGGCATTTTTTAAGAAATGCGTGATATTTCCTTGACCTCGTAGCTCAGTTGTAGAGCATTGGACTAGCAAGGTCGCGAGTTTGATTCCCACCACGCGCAAGCAAACTTTTCAGCTTGTCCGGTGTTGGCTACTCTGGGTTGAGAGGTTTTCTGGTGTCAGGCGTGCCTGACTGCAGGCTACAGCTTCAGAAAAAAAACCCCGGGGAAGGTGTGGACACACTCAAAACAACATCACAAACAGATATCTTCACCGGAGTGCACAACACCAGATTTTTTTATATTTTGCCCATTGTTAGTCTATTATTAAGTAAAATTATGCGCTTCCTTTCCAAGAACACGCTATATCAAAGTGAGTATTGCACGCGTGTGTTGTCATAGCAACAAAATGTGTTACTAAAACTAGCATATGAAACAAGAAACATTAAAATAATTTAACATCCAGACATCTGCTTGAATAAAATACAAAAATACGAAATTTAAGAATGTCAAACTGTTGTAGACCCGAATTTGTTGAAAGATGCATCGAGCCACCTTAATTAGCCATACAGCGCAGTTGAACAAAAAGAAATGAAACAATAATATGTAGAAAAATGCATTCTTTTAATTCTAAAACAATTTCACACATGCATGAATTGTTCATAAATACATTTACCCCAACCCAGGCTGCCGTCACGTGATCCTGGACATGGTTTTGGGAACCACAGGCATCATGGGAAGGTATTAGCTAGCGTGACAGTACAAAACAAACTTATCTTTAAAATTATTTTCAGGATTTCGGGAAAGTATGATTCTTTAACTGTGTCGTAGCCCGGCCAAATTTCATCACAAAATGGTTTATCTTATAAGTTTTCAACACATAGTTCAAAATAATTCAAAATTAAAACATTAAAAAAAATATATATATATATAACGATTTTAAATAATTTTAAATAATTTTAACTG